TGTCTTAAAAGGAGAATGTGTTATTTTTGAAGACCTAACATTTAGGACTGCACTTAGCAGACGGGAAAACCAAAGTCCCATCTGGGAGCTGTGTCCTCGCAGGCATGCAGCTCTCCAGGAGGGCAGCTCTGATAAAGAATAGCTGGCATTGATCAGGCCTGGTGAACTGGGTGGGAGGTGATTTCTGAGGTACCGTCGGTGCTCATGAAATGTCTGTTGACTTGGTTCCTAGGCACCCCTTCAGTGGCCCAGAAGTCAGAACTGCCCCCCCGCACCTCCAACCCCACTCGGTCTCGCTCCCACGAGCCGGAAGCCATCCAAGGCCCACTCCGCAAACCCCAAGGCGCGGACCCAGGCTCCTTCCATTTCCTTGACACCCCATTCGCCAAGGTCTCGGAGGTCCAGCAGCGGCTCCGGGGTACCCAAGACGGGAGCAAGCACTTTGTGAGGTCACCCAAGGCCCAGGGCAAGAGCGTGGGTGTGGGCCACGCAGCCAGAGGGGCAAGAAGCAAACCCCCGCTGGGGCCCGCCGGCTCCTCGGTGTCTCCCTTCGCCCACCTGGCCGCCAGCCCGGCCCTCCTCCCCACCGTGGCACCCCTCGGGCACAAGAAGCACAAGCACCGAGCCAAGGAGAGCCAGCAGGGGTGCCGGGGCCTGCCGCCCCCGCTGGCGGCGGGCGGCACGGTGGCGGGGCGGGAGCATGTGCGGGAGCTGCCCGCCGTGGTGGTGTACGAGAGCCAGGCCGGGCAGGCGGTCCAGAGACACGAGCACCACCACCACCACGAACACCATCACCATTACCACCACTTTTACCAGACCTAGGCCCTTCCCCCCGGCCGCTGTATGAAGGAACACCGCTCCCCGACGCCCCGAGGCATTATTATTCTATTAATTATTGTTATTATGATGATTATTGTTATTAATAATTATTGTTACTCCACTAATATTCTGCTAGCCTCCATGTAGAAGATATATGGAAACACAACTAAACTTTTATTTATATGTTGTGGGGACTGCATTACTGACTCTGGGCTCGGAGGCGGCCTGTCGATGGCAGGGGCTCCCCCAGTTTCCCCCGTGGATCTCCCCACACCCTTCCCAACCCCCTGTGCCAGAACTCGGCCAGAACTCTGCCCCCACCCCAGTCTCTCCCAGGAGAACACCCTTACCTGACCTGGCTTCCAGAGACCCTTGGAATCTCCCAGAAGATAAACAGCTGCTACCTCTTAGTATTTTTCTGAGTTTATTTTGCCCTCACCTGGCTGTAGCGTGCGACAAGGGGTTTCCATGGACTGCAGACGTGTGACTGTCTTACTGTTGTGTTTTTCTGTCCCAACCTAGAGACCTTCGCTGTCCTTTCCAGAGAGATCCAAACTGGCCCCATCTTTTCCGCCACGCACAACATGAAAATCCAATTCTCCTCCTCCTTCCCTCCTTCTCTTTTCTTCTATAGAACAACTCACACACACGTATTTCAGACTATCTCAGAAATCAGCCTTCTCACGTTGGAAACCGCTGGAAGGGGAACTGACCACACCAGCAAGCATGGTTTTCCAAGATCTGGCCAGTGTGCGTTGCTGGTTGTGACTGACGATGTGGGGACCTTGTGTTTCACCGCTGGCAAATATATATGTACCTACTAGGTTCTCGACCAGAGCTTTCTGTATCTGTAGATAGCTGCCGTCTGTCTGTTTCTGTGTATCTTTCTATAAATATACACTCTCAGGTACCTTTTGTGTGTGGAGGAATTGGTGGTTTGCTTCTCTGGAGACTTCCTAAGCCCAGAGGTGAGCCTGGGCGCCTCCTGGGGGGGGACAAGCTGTCCATCAGCTACTAGGAGCCACTTGCTGCTCTCAGAGCTCCTTGCTCAGAGGTTGGGGTCTGACAGATTTCGGAGACACTTGCCGGAGTTCAGAAGCTTGGAGGGAAATGGGGGCGGTGACCAGAGTTGGGCCTTGGAGCAGTGTCCTGTGCAGAGCAGAATTCTGTCTGGCCAGAGTCAGGGGGTCCAGGAGAAGGACCACTGCTGACCAGTTGTGGTGCTGGCGACAACAGAGGCACACTGACATGGGGTGATTTGAGAAGAGTTCAGCAGAGGGAGTATCTACAGAGTGTAAGCAAAACCTGAAAGGGTGCAGAATTTGGGGGCATCACTCCCGTCCCTGGGCCTGAGAGGGGGAGGGAGGACGTCATCCTCCACAGACGGTGGGGCTGGGGCCTTCCATTGAGGGATGCAGTCCGTCTGAAGGGACCCTAGGGGGAAATTAATCTCCTTCCCCCTCTGAAGCCACTGGGAGCCAGAGGGCAGGGGAGCTTGTGGATGTGGCCACATGGGAGCAAGCATAAGGGCAGAGAGGGAATCTGGCAGGACCCAAGAAGAAAAACTAACTCCAGCCGACTTCCTTTCTGCTCATCTGTCTCCCAGCTGGGATCCTTTTTCCCAGAGCCTCTGTTTTGTTTTACTGTAGTTAGTGAAGAGTCATTTTTGAAGACGGTGTAGGTGTTGTCACCGTATTCGTTTTGTTAATTAATGACGTGCGTGGGGTGGGATTCTGCCATTTAGTTCTCACAGCAACCCTATGAGAAGCTCAGGGAGCACGTCTGAGGCTCAGAGAGGTTAAGTGACTTGCCTGAGACCACACAGTAGGTGCAGAGCTGGCACTTTCATCTTCTACCTGACTCCACCAGGGACTTCTGGTTGGGCCTCACTGGTCTGGGTAGTGGCCTCTCTGTCAGTCAGGACTCTGAACTCAAACTGCAAGTTACCAAACCAGGGGAAAGCAGGGACAGGCAACAGGCCCCAGGGATGTCAACGTGGAGACTCGGAGCGTCTCGTCCCTCCCTCTTTCTGGATTTATACTTCTACCCCTACGTGTTACCGGAAGGAAAGGATCTCCCACTAGCTCTAGCCAGGGGCAGCCCAGGGAAGGGTTCTGATTGGCTAGGCTTAGATCTGGTACCCATCTCTGGACCAATCACTGTGACCCATCTGGGGTCACATGTCTACCTTGAGGCAAGTGTAGTTTGTTCTGTAGCAGAAGGACTTGGAGGAAGGGGTGCTGAGCAGACCAAAATAAACGCTGCCTCAGGCCTGCAATTGTTGCAACCATCCCGGCCCGCAGGGGACCTCTCTGTGAGAGCGTTTCCTCAGCCCCTGAGAGGAGGTCCTCTGCTGCTTCCCCTAGCACCGTGCCTGTCAGAATTCCATTCATCTTTTGGTAACCGGGATTACCTAATTTTAATAATTTTTAAAAATAGTAACATGAGCATGTAAAAGATTCAACCACTACAAAAAGGTGTACAATAGAAAGTAAACTTCCCTCCGTCCCAGACCGTCCAGCATTCTTCAGCTTCTGTCCATGTTCCCAGCTTCCTGGGGTGCTTCCCCAAGCCGTTCACTCTAGCGTAGTGATTGTGAGCACACACTTTGGTGTCTGCTGCCTGGGTTCAAATCCTGACTTGCTCTTTCCGTAGCTCTGCGCTTCACGTGAAATGCTCTACCCTTCAACGCCTCTGTTTCCGCTTTATAATAAAACCCAAACCCGTTGCTGTGGAGTCGATTCCAACTCATGGTCAACCCCAAGTGTTACAGAGTAGAACCGAGCTCCGCAGGGTTTTCTTGGCTGTGATCTTTAGAGAAGCAGATCGCCAGGACTTTCTCCCGTAGAGCCACTGGATGGGTTCGAACCGCCAACTTTTCTGTTAGTAGCTGAGGGCAAACCATTTTGCGCCACCCGGGGACATCTAAAAGTACTGTGAAAGTGTTAGCTGTCATTATTTACAAGAGTAAAGGCATTTATATAAAATATCTCCCCATTTAAATTTTATTAATTTTTGAAATATTTCAAACAAAAAGTATGAAACAGAAAACTGGGTAACAGAAACTGACTCACCACCGAGATCTTACAAACGCTGACATTTTGCAATATTTATTTCAGATCTATTTTTAAGAAAGAAAACTGCAGGTACTGCTTAATCCCCTTTCCTCCCCGCCCTTTTATTTTTACACGAGGAGTAGCATAGTATACATACTTGCACCCTCTTTCTCTCCGACCTAGTGTATACGGGGATCTTCCCCTCTGGGTCATGTAGCTCTGCCCCTTCTCTTGGCAGCTGCTCAGCCTTCTGTTGCAGGGAGGCGCTGTCCTGTACTTGTCCCGTCCCCGACGAGCAGGTAGAGCCTCATCCTGGGCTATGATATAGACATGCTGCATTGAGGGTCCTATATGGCTTGTCTTGGTGCCCACTGGCAGGAACACTGGTGACAGAGTCCTGGATGTGGAATTTCTGAGTTAGAGGACATGTGTGATTTCAATTTTGATGCCATTGTAAATGACCTCTAAGAGAAGGGGTACCAAATGGTTACAAATCGAAGGAAGAAGAGAAAGAGGGAGGGGGAGGGAAGAAGGAAGGAAGGAAAGGAGGGAGAGAGAGAGAGAGAGAAGGAGAGAGGGAGAGAGCGAGAGAAAGAAAACTAACTAGAAGGGGCCAACCCGCTTCCTTGGTGAGACTTTGAGCACATTTTCCTGCAGGGTGGTGTGGGCAAGATGTTCTGTCTTGTTTGCGCATCTCCCGATACCCATTCCCGAGGAGCTGTTGCTGCTTCCCCAGTGCCCTGAGCACTGGGCCACGTCCACCAGTTGACCCCATGGGTGTCAGAGTAGAAGCGTACTCCACAGGATTTTCAATGACTGATTTTTTGGAAGTAGATCGCCAGGCCTTTCTTCTGAGGCATCTCTGGGTGGACTTAACCACCAACCTTTGGGTTAACTATTTGCACCAACCAGGGACTCCGGGGTCCCTCTGGAGCCTGGAAAAGTTGTAGAGGAGACTGAAGACACACGTACGAGCACGCACACACACAAGCACATGTGCACACGCATACACTGGCAAGCCAGTCTGTGAGTGCATACCCCATTTCTCCCAGGGACGAGGAGCCTGCTGATGTGTTACCGGGCACTGAGGACATCTGGCATGTCCAAGGCAGAGGACGAGTGAGGCCCCAGCAGCCACACCTGCTGTCATCTCCCAGAAGCGCTGGGGGTGGGGAGCCTGGGGGGGGCTTGTTCACTTCTAGCCCAGCCATGCCAATTACTCCCTTTGGCAAAGGAAACAGCCCGGAGCGGTTTCTTTTGCCTTTCTGCCTTTTTCTCAGCCTTTAGATCTCAAATCATTACCGGGCCAGAGGGCAGGCAGGCACGGAGGTGGCAGGGGGTAGGGGAGGCTGCCTGCACCTCAAGCTCCGTTTCTTTCAGATGCCAGCACTAATCACCCGGCTTCTGGGAGGCCTGTCAGTGTCTGTGGAAATGAAAGGAGACCCCCAAAATGTGTTCAGTGCGACGTGGCCGTGAACGCCCCCCACCCACTGCCCTCACCGCCTTACTGTAGCCACCCGGGGTACTGCACGGCCCCCTTGAGAGTCCCAGTGGCCAGCAACCGCTCTCCAGCCCCTTTTGCTTCCCAACGCCAGCTGGGCCCTCGCCCTGCATGAGCATGGCTGTACTGTGCAGAGAAAATGCCCAGGGTTTGGCCAAACACTTTGTGAGTCCTAAAGCTGTGCCAGGGAGCCCTGGTGGCGCAATGGTTCAGCACTTGGCTGCTAATCAAAAGGTTGGTGGTTTGGGCCCACCCAGCGACCCTGCCGGAGAAACACCTGGTGATCTGCTTCCAAGAAACCCCTGTGGGGCAGCACCTTTCCCCCATCAGGACAGCTTTATCACTTCCCTGGGTCATGCCTCTTGTTTGGGACTCTGATCTGGCTTTTGCTCCCATCACCTCCCCCAAACCAGGAGACTTCTGAACCTAACCCGTCTTCTCAGGGGTTCATGCTCTTGAATGGTTTTACTGATTAAAGTATTTCCCTGCAAAGGGCTTTCTATACCCGGTGTCTTCCTTTAGCATAAGAAGAGGGAATGGGTGGGAGAACCATTTTCCGTTAGCAGAAGGTGACCCTGGGGAGAAAAATGGCAGAGGCTGCCTACATGCCCCATCTCCGCTCACTTTCTCTCCACAGGAGGAAGGACCCTAGTACCTTTTAGTCTATGAGCTAGACAAGAGGGTCCCTGCCTAGACATGGCCCCTGGGAGCAGCAGTCAAGAAATCAAACAATGTATTGCATTGGGCAAAACTGCTGCAAAAGACCTTCTTAAAGTGTTAAAAAGCAAAGACGTCACCTTGAAGACTAAGGTGCACCTGACCCAAGCCATGGTGTTTTCAGTCGCCTCATATG